TGAAAGCTTCCCTTGTGGCATAGCCTCTCATGGTAAAGAGGAAAGACCTTGTACACTCCTCATGTTTTCTGGAACTCACACATGTGCTCTGGTCATTCCACATGTGGATTCCCATGGTCCTCAGTGGGACCCCTAAATAATAGCTTTAGTCCAGGCATCCCCCAAGGGCCCCTCTGGCTGCTTAGAAGGGAGATCAGCCTGGCTGGTGCACATAGTCTAAATATAATGGAACCAAGTTCTCACCCGCCCCTGCAGCTCTAGGATGAAAGGGCGAATGCCTTAGTAGCAGTGTTCCTGGATGCAGTGAGAATCTCACCCTAGGGAATGCACTTGCAGCACACTTTTGGCTGGGCTAGGCTGGGCCAGGGTTACCAGGGAACTGGTGGCACAGTTGTACTTAACAGAAAAGCAGCGGCCACTGCTAGAAGGGTTCTTTGGCTACTGGAGAACAGGCACAATGACAATGCCCCCCAGGAGCAGCCCTTTTTTGAAATAGCAGTGACACTTTTTAGGAGTGCAGGACATAGGATATTTTGAAGCTATGTTATTAGCTAAACTGCTGCTAAAGTAAGAGATGCTGGGACATTTGGGTTTGCTTACTTAATTAAATATAATTACTGAGCACCCACTAAGCATGGTAGATCAGAGCCAGGAAGTCTCTGAGGCCGTGGGAAAGCACACTTAGCAAGAACAGGGTCATCTCTGCTTCCATGAAGCTTGCATTCCAAGTCCACAAGAGAAGGTCACTGCGGAATGAGTCTGTGGAATCAAGGATCTGCCTGGGACAGAGATCAGGGGGCAGCAGCGCAGGCAGGCAGGGCTGAGCTGTGCAAATGGCCTGGAGCTGTGACCTAAGGGAGGAGCAGGAAGGATCCTTGGGAAGATCCAGGGTAAAGATGGATCAGGCAGGGGCTGGGGATTTAGCTCAGAGGCAAAGCGCCTGCCTGGCAAGTGCAAGGTCGTGAGTTCGGTTCCTGGTACCGGAGAAAAAACAAAAAACAAGACAAAACAAAACAAAAAAAGATGGACCAGGCAGAGAGGATGGAAAGAGCCCCTCCCTGAGGCAGGAAAGAGAGTCAAGGCCACTTGCCCAGAGGTGACTTCAAGGACAAAAGCAGTTTGCAATGATGAGGGAGAAGTTGGGAGAAGCCAGGTAGAAAAGGTCTTATGGGCCACACACACACAAATACCGTTGAAGGAAAAAGCTCCTACGTTAAAAAGCTAGCAGAAGCCAAAATAAGGAATAGGGGGCACAGCGTTACTTTCCAAGCAGACTAATGAAGCATTGAGCTAGTGATCAAAGATGCCGTCCCTTTCAGCTTATTTTAGTGTCCAAGGCAGCTGTTGGGCTGGAAGGTGGCATGAATTCCATGTTCTTAGGCATTTCCCTCAGGTCTTGTCACCAAAATGTGACCTGTGGACTGTGTTTCTCATCCCAGTAAAAACTCATAAACCAGTAGATGCCGTGGTTGATGTTAGGGCCAGAGCCAGAAGGCCAGGGGTCAAGTTTAACCTGCCTGACTCCATCTCCTGAAAGACCCTGGCCCTCCTCTCAGCCTCGCTGAGCTTGTGCTCTTATGCTTAAGAAATTCTTGCCACACTGGGCAAGTGGGTATTAAACAAGACGCTGCATTTTAAATTTCTTTGACATTTAAAAAAGCATTTTCCACTTATTTCTCCCTACCTTTAACACCCATAAATTTCTGGTTGGTTTCTTGGCATTGTTCTTTTTCAGTTACACCACTAGAGGTCAGAATTTCACATAAATTGCTAAAGGAAACCACCACTCTAGAAAAAAATAAAAACAACTTTTTTTTTCCAGCTAAGCAACATGAAGTAATAAATTGAGACATAGGAAGAAAACCACTGCTAATTTAAATGAGCTAGTTTTGATAATTGGAACAATGTCCTCAAAACTGTTACTGAATAGGGAGAAGGAAAGATAAACAGAATTTGTTAAATATCTATTTATGACATCTATACAACTTAAATTTATATTGATTATTTTATATTATTTTAAACACAAGTCTCTGCTGGAAGTCCATTCTGAGAGTGAAGAAGCTAAACCACAGGTATAACAACATGCTGAAGATCAAACAGATGGAATCCAATGCCTTTTTTTCCTGTAAGTCAAGCTCAGGACATAGCTCTGTAAAACTGATGTCTGTATTGTGGACAAGAGATTCAATAACTGGATGGTATTATTGTCTTTTACTTGCAACTTTAAGTAACTTCTTTAGTCTCCATTCTCCTCAGTGAATTTAGAGTACATTCTGTTTACTGTTTATTTCCCAGGGTACCTAGACATTTCTGAGCCCAGTGCTGCAGGGGTAAGAACATAGTAATGAGACGCTTATCCGAGGGCTGAGGGGGGGGGGGAATAACGACTTTGAGTGAAGGAAACAACATGTTGAACAAAAGCTATAATTCAGATTTAAACTGTTTACCTAGTCATTAACAATTTTTTTTTTTCATTTTGTAGAGGTAAATATACAAATCTACCTTGTTTGGGGAAAGAGAGAGGCTGTTACAGGACACCTGAAGGAACGAGGTCCAGCGCACAGTGGTTTATAATGGAGAGAGGGCTCCAGGATGTGCTTTTTGCTGTATCTGTAACACCTAGTGCAGTACCCAGAGCTGAGGAAAGGCAGCAATAAATATGCTCAGCGGTTCTTCCTGTGCACATGTGGGCAATCATAAAGACAGAAACAAGTCGACTCAGTGATGACCCCCGGAGTCTGCCATCCACACCCAAGCTTGATAAGTAGATACCAATCCTAGGATTGGTTCTTCACCTAAGCTTTAGACACGCATCCGGCAAGGTGGGCGGGACTTCCGGAATTGTAAACTGTCTATGCTAAGAAGAGAATTTAGAAAGCATTTGATGCAAAGCTCCCAAGTTCCAAGGATAAAGAAGAAATCACATATGAGTCCATAACTGACTTAGTTCTGGAACCCAGCGCTCTAAGCACATCTCCCTCTTCCCTGATGCCTTCAGAGCTTCCTCCTGCCAAGCTCTAGCTTGTAATTTATCTTATACACCTACATGGGCTCTGGAAGAGAGTTAGAGGGATTTCTATTGTTTGAAATCATAATATGATTTCTAATGGGGAGGCAGGGTTCTGAGTTGATGAAGAAATGAGGATGGGAAGATTCGTGGTGGAAGAAGGTACGGTGGCACAGCACTCTGAGAGGCTGAGGCAGGAGGATTGCAAATTCAAGCTCACTCTGGGCAACTTAGTGATTTAGGAGACTGTCTGCCCTGGGTTCAATCCCTAGTGTCACAAAACAAAAATGAAAAAGATTCCTATGGACATGTGGTGATATGCAACAAATATTAAATATGAATTGAAATCATAGAATAAAATAAGATGGTTTCATAGTTTTTAAAATATACTCCTTGCCTTTTTCTTGGAAGCATTTAGGATTATGAATTATACTTTGTAACCTCTCAAAAGCAAGCACTGGGATCCTTTGCCTAAGTCTATGCTAAACATTTTCTCTTCTTGTTCTGTACTCTGCTTATTTCCGTTTTCCTAGAAGAGTCATGGCTAAGACCTAACTCAATAACGACCTTCTCAAAAAGTCTGCTCTGACCTTTATATCCTTCTTGATGAATTCCCTAACTCTCCATCACTCATGGCACTAACATTATCTAATGTACCCGTTGTGCCCAAAATATTGCCTGACACTTAATAAGTGCTCAGCCCATGATAGCTGGGTTGGAATGAGTAGAAGTGTTGGATTGGAAAGCATTATATTTTGGATATTATTTTAACAACACTTTAGTGTTTTGAACAGGTTGAAAGCCACAATTTCTTACACTGATCCCATTTGCACAACCAAGGCAAACATTCATTTTTAGCATTATCCACAACACCATAGGCACAGCACAAAGTTTCCTGCACTCCATGGGAATGCCGGTAATAGTTTTAAGTAAATACTTTTTCCAACAAAAACTTTCTTTTCTGAACACTTGCCCTCCCATTATTCATGTGTCCACCCCAGAAATGATATAGAGGCTCCAAGGTCTCATTTTTCCTCCCTGCATTCATTTTATAATATCAAAGGTTAAAACTTGGATTACAATCTTAGGAGGGAATTAATTCACTGATTAAGAACCATGCACTTTAAGCAATACAGATTTAAGTAGCTGGCAAACATCAGGCCACGTATTTTTTATTTCATTTCGAAGGACTTTTTTTTCTACTTAAAACTTTAAGCAGCTGCAATTCTTTAGCCCCATTGCCTGGAGAAACAACATGAATTACTAATAAGAGTGCACCAGTCTGCAATGCAATGACCACCTTCAGAGCAAAAGGGTAAGAGCTGAAACCAAGAAAACAGATTCTTTTTTTATCAACCCGTTGCTTGAAGCATATTTGGACCTTGGACCTTGACTCCACTTGAAAAACTTTGCAATATTCTATCATTCTTCAGCTAAAGGCACTTGGCCTCAAAGACTCTACTTTCAAATAAAGAAATGTTCATTTACATCCTACCTGCAACCCTTAGCAACAGAAATTCCCAGCTTCTATTGCCACCTCGGAGCCCAATAATTATGAAGTAAAAGTTTACTTCAGATTTAATTTTTACTTTTCTGAACCTTTGCCTAAATACCTTTACCAGAATCAGTAAGAGGAAGGACAAAAAGAAAGCAACCTGAGAATAGAGGCAGATGGTCCTAAAGAAAGCTTTCCTGAAGACTGCTGCCTTGGTGCACACCTTCCTCTGGGGCCTGGTGGGAGATGGACTTTCCCCCTACCCTGGTGACTTTAATCAGATTCCTGCTCCCAAGGTCCCACCTCCTCCCACCCTTCTCCTACCTAACTTCAAGGGAAAGCTTTAAGTAGGAAATAGATTATTGATTTTCCTAAATCAAAGGAAAGTAGGAGGAAGCGAGGGAGGGGGGAGGAGAGAAATATTGACAGGTTGGGATGGGACTGGGAGATGTGGGAATAGATCAAACTTACACAAAAATGCGGGTTTTCCTTCCTCACCTTTGGGTCCAGGTGAAATAGCATGTGTGGCACAGACTTCTGCAGTCGGGCGACTGTGAATGTCCAGACCCAGACTCTGAATTTGCAGGAGAAATAGCAGCAGGAGGATGAACTGGTTGCTTCGAAGCAAGACTCCAGTGCCGTTCATTTTTGCATCTCTTCAAAAAGGGGTCTCCCAGAAATGCCAAATGAAGAGCTGTATCTTAAAAAAAGTGTGCTGCTTCAAGGAAGAAAGGGAAAGATCTGGAGCACATATTCCAGAAAGGGTTACAGAGGCAAGAAAAGAGCCTTCTCCAAGTTGTTTATTTTCTCAGTATCTCCGATGGACCATACATTGTCCAGACTGTTTATTTTCAAGCGACAACTGTTTATTGAAAATTATCTCTGAACTAAACACTCGAGTGTGTGGCTCAGGAGAGACAGCCCTGAGGGCAGAGGGGAGAGAGATGCTTTTTGCTCAGTCCTTGAGCATGCGTGGCATTTCACCGCTGGGTCCCAGGGCTGTGAAAGAGAGATTCCTACACATGTTACCCAAGCACTATGCATGGCTTTGGGCTTTATTTTTTTACTTTGAAGAGAATATTTAAAAAATGAGCAATAGCAAAGTAAACAAAACAAAGCAAGGACATTAAAAATGATATGGGGTTTCAAATCAAATGATAGGGATTAACAGTGGTTGTTATATTACATATTGTTCTGTTCAGTGAAGTTGCTCAGATTACCAGAATGGAAGATTCTGAATGGAAGAATGGAAGATTGATCAAATCACTAAAGGGAATAAGAAAGTAATAATTTAAAAAAGCATTAGGGACAATACAGAGTTTCACTAGACAGGATGATAGGAATTCACCAATGGTTGTTATATGGCATATTGTTGTCTTCACATAAATTTCTCAAATTACCAGATGTAAGTATGCAAAATTGGTCAAAATATATAAAAACATTTAAGCATTAACTGTTCCTTTCAATAAACCACCAGACATCAGCAGTACAGTTATCCCAGCTAGCCATATGCATATATATACATATAGCCTTAGTACTTTCTTTCTTTCTCTTCTTTACCTCATCCCAGTTGTTTCTTCCTTTGTGCAATTTCTTTCCCTTTCATATTATCTACTGTACATTTTGTGTTTTATTTTACTCTTTCATGTTCTTACACTAGGGAGACAATATGATGTTTACACATGTGGGTTCTATTTATTTCACTTATGAGTCTCTAGTTGCATCCATTTATCTATAAAAGCCTCTAGTTTATCTTTCTTTATAGCTGAGTAATACTCCATTGTATAAAAATACCACATCTTTTTTATCCACTCCTCAGTTCATGGCCATTTGGGTTGTTTCCAAGACTTAGCTATGACAAATTGTACTGCTATAAACATGGGTGCACATATATCCTGTGGTATGATGTTTTTAACTTTTCTGGAAAAATACCCAGAAGTGGAATAGTTGAGTTAACTGAGACTTCTAATCCTAGTTTCGTGAGGAATCTCCACGCTGATTTCCACAGTGGTTACACCAGTCTACACTCCAACCAGCAATGGAGAAGGGTTCCTTTTTCCCCACAGCCTCTCCAGCATCTGTCATTGGCTGATTTCTTAATGATAGCAATTCTTTCTGGGGTGAAATGGAATCTTATTTCATTAGTGTTGTTTTAATTTGCATTTCTCTAATAACTAATGATGTTGAACATTTTTCATATATTTATTCTCCATTAGTATTTCTTCATGTGAGAAGTGTGTATTCATCTCAGATGCCCATTTTTGGATTGGAGATTTTGGAGCCTGATTTTCTTTAATTCTTTATATGTTCTAGATAGAAATGCTTTGTCTGAGGGGCAGTTGGCGAAAATGTTTTCCCAATTAATGGGTTTTCTTTTCACTCTGTTGGCGATTTCTTTTGTTGTGCAAAAACTTTTCAATAAGATAAGATCCCAGTTGTTGATTCTTTGAAGGATCTCCTGTGCAGTTTGGTTTCTGTTCATGCACTCTGTACCTACTGCTACGTGTTTGAGATATTTCCCTGCTTTCTCTTCCAGCGGATTTTTTGGTTTTGATATTTAGATCTTTGACCCATTTTGATTTTAGTTTAGTGCATTGTGATAGACGTGGGTCTAGTTTTAGTCTTTGGCATGTGGAAAGCCAGATTTCCAGAACCATTTATTAAAGAGGCTTTGTTTCTTCCAGTGAACATATTTGGCCATGGTCAAAGATAAGGTGGCTGAGTATGTTTATAGCTGTGTCTGCATCCTCTAATCTGTTCCATTGATCTTCAGGTTTGTTTTTTGCCAGGGCCATGCTGATTTTAGTACAGTAGCTTTGAAGTATAATTTCAAGTCAGGGATTGTGATGCCTCCTGCCTTGCCTTTGTTTCCCAGGATTGCTGGTGCTATTATAGGCCTCTTCTGGTTCCAGATGGATTTTAAGAATATTTTCTCTAGATCTATGAGGTATAATAATAGTATTTTAATTGGTATTGCATTGAATCTGAATAACAATTTTGGGAGAATAGCAGTTTTCACAATGTTGGTTCTTCCTATCCATGAGCAAGGAATATCTTTCCATTTTCTGAAATCCTTTCTGATCTCTTTTTTTTTCAGAGTACTGTAATTTTCACTGTATAGATCTTTTACTTCTTTTGTTAGATTGATTCCAAAGTATTTCATTTTTTAGATAGTATTATGAAAGGCATGGTCTCACTAATTTCTCTTTCAGTCGGCTTGTTTTTGTACAGGAATGCTATTGGTTTTTGAGTGCTGACTTTGTATCCAGCTATGCTACTGAATTTGCTTATTAAATCTATAAGCCTTTTGGTGGAGTTTTTGGGGTCTTCTAGGTAGAGTAAAATGTCATCTGCAAATAATGATAATTTCACTTCTTCCTTTCCTATCCTTATTCTTCTTATTTCTCTCTCTTGTCTAATTGCTCTGGCTAGTATTTCCAGAACTATGTTGACTAGGAGTGGTGACAGTGGACATCCTAATCTTGTTCCTGATTTTAAAGTGAAAGCTTTCAGTTTTTGACCATTTAGAATGATGTTAGCTGTTAGTTTGTCATATGGCTTTTATCAGATTGAGATGAAATCCATCTATGCCAATTTTCTGTAGGGTTCTTATATTGAATAAGTGTTGGACTTTATCAAAAGCTTTTTCTTCGTCAATTGAGACGATCATGTGATTTTTGTCTTTGGCTGTATTGATGTGGTATATTACATTAATTGATTTGCATATATTCAACCATCCCTGAATTCCTGGGGTGAATCCCACTTGGTCATGCTGTATAATCTTCTTGATGATTTGTTGCGTTCTGTTTGTTAGTATTTTATTGAGAATTTTTGCATCTATATTCATTAGGGAGATTGGCCTGCAGTTCTCTTTTTTGGTTGGGTCTTTCTCTGGTTTTGGTACCAGGATAATACTTGCCTTCAAGAGTGACTTGGGGGAGAATTCCATCCCTTTCAATTTCATGAAAGTTTGAGAAGAACTGGTGTTACATCTTCTCCATCAGGATCTTGGCTTTTCTTCACTGGCAAGTTGTTTTATTACATTTTCAATTTCAGTGCTAATACAAGGTTATTTAGGACTTTTATATCTTCTTCATTCAGCTTTGATAATTCATATGTATCTAGAAATCTGTCCATTTCCTCTGTGTTTTCCATCCTGTGAGAGTAAAGATTTTCAAAGTACATATTGGTGATCTTCTGAATTTCCACAGAATCTGTAGTGACTTTATCTTTTTCATTCCTTATTGCATATATTTCAGTTTTTTCTTCCCTTTTCTTTAAATAAAGTTGGCTAGGGGTTTATCAATTTTATTTATTTTTTGAAGAACCACCTCTTTGGTTCATTATTTCTTTGTATTTTTTTAGTCTCCATTGTATTAATTTCTGCCCTGAACTTTATAATTTTCTGCCTTCTCTGGGCTTTGTGTTTGACTTGTTCTTCTTTTTCTAGAAGTTTGAGGTGCAGGATACGATTATTTATTTGTGCTCATTCTGTTTTCCTGAGGTGAGAATTCACTGCTATAAATTTTCCTCTGAGGATTGCTTTCATTGCATCCTAGAGATTCCTGTAAGTTGTACCTACATTTTTGTTTGATTGTACATAGTGTTTAATTTCTTCTTTGATTTCATCTGTGACCCATTGATTTTTCAGGAGGATGCTGTTTAATTTTTATGTGTTTATGGAGTTCTTGTTATTTCCTTTGTCTTTAATTTCCAGTTTCATTGCACTGTGGCCTGATTGTGTGCATGAGATAATTTCAACTCCTTTTCCTTTCCTTAAGCATGTTCTATGTGCTATTATATGGTCTATTTTAGAGAATGTCCCATGGGCAGCTGGGTAGAATATGTATTCTGATGTTGTTGGATAGAACACTCTGTAAAGGTCTACTAAGTCCATTTGTTCACAGGTTTGATTTAGTTCTGTTATTTCTTTGCTAATTTTTTGTCTAGTTGATCTATCTCTTTGTGACAATGAGGTATTAAAGTCCCCTGTTATCATTTCATGTCTGTTAAAATTTGTCTTATATAGTTGGGTGCGTCTGTGTTTGGTGCATAGATGTTTATGATTGTTACCTGTTCCTCTTGAAGTTTTCCTCTCCCAAGTATGTACTGACCTTCTTTATATTTTTAAATTTTTCTCTGTTTGAAGTTCCCATTGTCTATAAACAGAAGAGCTACACTTGCTTTTTTTCTGGGTACCTGTCACATGGAGTATTGTTTTCTATCCTTTGATTTTCAGTCTATGAATTTCTCTTTGAGTTAAATGTGTTTCATGTACCAGCATATTGTTGGATTTTGTTTCTTGATCCAACCTGCCAGTCTACTTCTTTTGGATTAGTGAATTGAGACTGTTTACACTGATGGTTTTAACTGATATGTATTGGTTTATCTTTGTTATGTTGTTCTCCTGCTGTTGGTTCCTCTTGTTTCACTCTGTTTAATTGTTTGCTCTGCTTGGTTGTTCCTTTCTATTGCTGTTCTTGCAGTTGTGGTCTGTTTTATCTCTTTCTAGAATATCTTTTAGTACTCTTTGTAGGTCTGGTTGGGCACTCATGAAGTTTTTCAGTTGATATTTATCACATAAATATTTCATTTCTCCATTAATTTTGAAGGATAGTTTTGCAGGGTACATCAATCTGGGTTGGAAGTTGTCTCCTTTCAGGACCTGAAATATTTCACTCTAAGTTCTTCTTGACTTGATGTTTTGTGTTGAGAAATTTGCTGTGATTTGATGAGCTTTCCTTTACAGGATCT